AAATATATATAATTCAAAATACCAACTCAAAATTAATTAATTTTGCAAGTGAGAATTGACTTTTAATAGATATTTTCATAATGGTTAATTTATAAGTTAAATCATATTTAAATTTCAGCTAAGGCCTAAAAAAGAAAATGTTATTGTAGTTTGTACATTTGACAAATAATGGAGGAGTAGACTTAAATGAAGTAAATTCATGTTAGTTTTGATTCTATATTAATTTTTATTCCTTACAACACTTCAGTGGGATGCGTACTTTAATGGGAAAGGCAAATATATGTACATTTTGTTTTCTGTAATTATTCAGTTTAATAGGATATAATAAATTTATTTTGGAGGATGAGGACTGAAAAACTACCTATTGGGTGCCATGGTTATCATCTCGATAATGAAATAATTTGTACACCAACCCCCTGTGACATGCAGTTTACCTGTATAACAGACCTGCACATGCACCTCTGAACCTAAAATAAAAGTTAAAAAAAGAATTTGAGAGATACTGGTAAAAATCCATAGGCTAATAGATGGCTTTAAGTGTTCTATAAGACAGGGTAAAAGTAATAAATCATACTATTAATGAGTACATATCTTTTATGTATTAGATCACATTGATTAAACAAAATTAAATATTTTTTCTTACTAGAGAGATGACTCAATTTTGAATATCACTAATGCACCTGTTGAGGAATCTTCAATAGAGGGTGTTTATACCTTATATTATTATTTTCACAAATATGCTCAAGGATTTGTGTTACTTGAGACATACTTCTGGGAATGTTGACTTAGTTAAATTTACTATAGTGTATTAAACTGAATAGTTACAGGAAATAAAACATCCTATTTTCTTTTTCTATGTAGATATTTTATTGTTTCAAATAAAATTATGAATAAAATTTTAAATGCCATGCAAGATCTTTTGTAAAAGAATGGCATGACATCTGCTCTCACAAAACTCATAATCCAGTGAAATAGGAAAACACATAAAAATGGCTAATAAAAGTTAGAGAATAGTTATTGTTACAGTAATGATACTTCTTTTTGTATGTGTGGTCAGTTTCTTCTTCTTTTTTTAAGCTATACTTTAAGTTCAGGGGTTCATGTGCAGATCTTGCAGGATTGTTGCATAGGTATGCCATGCCATGGTGGTTTCCTGCCTCCATCCCCCACCGTTACCTACATTAGGTATTTCTCCTAATGTTATCCCTCCCCGATATCCCTACCCCCTGCTATCCCTCCCCTAGCTCCCCACCCCCCAACAGACCCCAATGTGTGATATTCCCCTCCTGGTGTCCATGTATTCTCATTGTTCATCACCCACTTATGAGTGAGAACATGCGGTGTTTGGTTTTGTTCTTGTGCCAGTTTGCTGAGGATGATGGTTTCCAGATTCATCCATTTCCCTACAAAGGACATTAACTCATCCTTTTACGGCTGCGTAGTATTCCATGGTGTGTATGTGCCACATTTTCTTTATCCAGTCTATGCTCGATGGGCATTTGGGTTGGTTCCAAGTCTTTACTATTGTAAACAGTGTCACAGTGAACATAAATGTGCATGTGTCTTTATGACAGAATGATTTATAATCCTTTGGTTATATGCCCAGTAATGAGATTGCTGGGTCAAATGGAATTTCTATTTCTAGATCCTTGAGGAATCGCCACACTGTCTTCCACAATAGTTGAACTAATTTACACTCCCATCAAAAGTGTAGAAGCATTTCTATTTCTCTACAACCTCTCCAGCATCTGTTGTCTCCAGATTTTTTAATGATCACCATTCTAACTGGCATGAGAGGGTGTTTCAATGTGGTTTTGATTTGCATTTCTCTAATGACCAGTGAGGATGAGCATTTTTTCATATGTTTGTTGGACTCATATATGTCTTCCTTTGGAAAGTGCCTGTTCATATCCTTCACCCACTTTTTGATGGGGTTGTTTGTTTTTTTCTTGTAAATTTATATTAGTCCTTTGTAGATTCTGGATATTAGCCCTATGTCTGATGGGTAGATTGCAAAAATTTTTTCCCATTCTGTTGGTTGCCAGTTCACTCTAATGATTGTTTCTTTTGCTATGCAGAAGATCTTAAGTTTAATTAGAACCCATTTGTCTATTTTGGCTTTTGTTGCCCATGCTTTTGGTGTTTTGGTCATGAAGTCCTTGACTATGCCATGTCCTGAATGGTTTTGCCTAGGTTTCCTTCTAGGGTTTTTATGGTGTTAGGTCTTATGTTTAAATCTTTAATCCATCTCTAGTTAGTTTTTGTATAATATGTCAGGAAGCGGTACACTATCAGCTTTCTGTACATGGCTAGCCAGTTTTCCCAACACCGTTTATTAAATGGGAAATCCTTTCCACATTGCTTGTTTTTGTCAGGTTTGTCAAAGATCAGATAGTGGTGGATGTGTGGTATTGTTTCCGAGGCCTCTGTTCTGTTCCATTGGACTATATCTCTGTTTTCGTGCCACTACCATGCTGTTTTGATTACTGTAGCCTTGTAGTATAGTTTGAAGTTGTGTAACGTGATGCCTCCGGCTTTGTTCTTTTTGCTTAGCATTGTCTGGGCTATGCAGGCTCTCTTTTGGCTCCATGTGAAGTTTAAGGAGGTTTTTTTCCAGTTCTGTGAAAAAGGTCAGTGGTAGCTTGATGGGGATAGCATTGAATCTATAAATTACTTTGGGCAGTATGGCCATTTTCACAACATTAATTCTTCCTAATCATGAACATGGAATGTTTTTCCATCTGTTTGTGTCCTTTCTTATTTTCTTGAGCATCGGTTTGTAGTTCTCCTAAAGAGATCCTTCATGATCTTTGTTAGTTGTATTCCTAGTTATTTTATTCTCTTTGTAGCAATTGTGAATGGGAGTTCATTCATGATTTGGCTCTCTGTTTGTCTGTTATGTGTGCATAGGAATGCTTGTGATATTTGCACATTGATTTTGTATCCCAAGACATTGCTGAAGTTGCTTATCAGTTTCAGGAGATTTTGGTCTGAAGTCATGGGGTCTTCTAAATATGCAATCATGTCGTCTGCAAATAGAGACAATCTGACTTCCTCCTTTCCTAATTGAATACCCTTTATTTATTTTTCTTGCCTGTTTGCTTTGGCTAGAACTTTCAATACTATGTTGAATAGGGATGGTGAAAGAGGGTACCCTTGTCTAGTGCCAGTTTTCAAAGGGAATCCTTCCAGTTTTTGCCCATTCAGTATTATATTGGCTGTGGGTTTGTCATAAATAGCTTTTATTATTTTGAGACATGTTCCATCAATACCTAGTTTATTGAGAATTTTTAGCATAAAGTGCTCTTGAATATTGTCTTAGGCCCTCTCTGAATCTATTGAGATAATCATGTGGTTTTTGTCTTTAGTTCAGTTTATGTGATGGATTACGTTTATAGATTTGTGTATGTTGAACCAGACTTGTATCCCCGGGTTGAAGCCTATTTGATCATGATGGATAAGCTTTTTAATGTGTGCTATTGCATCTGGTTTGCCAGTATTTTATTGAAGATTTTTGTGTCAATGTTCATCATGGATATTGGTCCGAAATTTTTTTTAGTTGTATCTGCCAGGTTTTGGTATCAGGATGATATTGGTCTTATAAAATGAATTAGGGAGGATTCCCTTTTGTGTATTGTTTGGAATAATTTCAGAAGGAATGGTACCAGCTCCTCTTTGTATGTCTGGTAGAATTTGGCTGTGAAGCTGTCTGGACCTGGACTTCTTTTGGTTGGTGGGCTATTAATTGCTGCCTCAACTTCAGACCTGGTTATTGGTCTGTTCATGGATCCAACTGCTTTCTGGTCTAGTCTTGGGAGTGTGAAAGTGTCCAGGAATTTATCCATTTCTTCTAGATTTAGTGGTTTATGTGCATAGATGTATTTGTAGTAATCTCTGATCATAGTTTGTATTTCTGTGGAATCACTGATGATTCCACAGAAATCCCCTTTATCATTTTTTATTGCATTTATTCGATTCTTCTCTCATTTCTTTTTTAATAGTCTGGCTAGTGGTCTATCTATTTTGTTGATCATTTCAAAAAACCATCTCCTGGATTTATTGATTATTGGAAGGGTTTTTTGTGTCTCTATCTCCTTCAGTTCTGCTCTCCTTCAGTTCTGCTTCAGTTATTTCTTGTCTTCTGCTAGCTTTTGAATTTGTTTGATGTTGCCCCTCTAGTTCTTTTAATTGTGACATTAGAGTGTTCATTTTAGATCTTTCCTCACTTCTTATGCAGTCATTTAGTGCTATAAATTTCCCTCTAGACACTGCTTTAAATGTGTCCCAGAGATTCTGGTATGTTGTATCTTCATTCTCATTGGTTTCGAAGAACATCTTTATTTCTGCCTTCATTTCATTATTTATCCCGTAGTCATTCAGGAGCAGGTTGTTCAGTTTCCATGTAGTTGTGTGATTTTGAGTGAGTTTCTTAATCCTCAGTTCTAATTTGATTGCACTGTGGTCTGAGAGACTGTTTGTTATGATTTCCATTCTTTTACATTTGCTGAGGACTGACTGACTTCCAGTTATATGGTCAATTTTAGAGTAAGTACAATGTGGTGCTGAGAAGAATGTATATTCTGTGGACTTGGGGTGGAGAGTTCTGTAGATGTCTATTACATCTGCTTTGTCCAGATCTGAGTTCAAGTCCTGGATATCCTCGTTAATTTTCTGTCTCATTGATCTAATATTGACAGTGGAGTGTTAAAGTCTCCAACTATTATTGTGTGGGAGTCTAAGTCTCTTTGTAGGTCATTAAGAGCTTGCTTTTTGTATCTGAGTGTTCCTGTATTGGGTGCATATATATTTAGGATAATTAGCTCTTCTTGTTGCATTGATCCTTTTACCATTATGTAATGCCCTTCTTTGTCTCTTTTGATCTTTGTTGGTTTAAAATCCATTTTATCAGAGACTATGATTGCACCCCTGCTTTTTTTCTCACTCTCTCTATTTGCTCAGTAAGTCTTCCTCCATCCCTTTTGTGTGTCTTTGGATGTGAGATGGTTCTCCTGAATACATCACACCTATGGGTCTTGACTTTTTATCCAATTTGCCAGTTGTGTCATTTGATTGGGCATTTAGCCTGTTTCCATTTAAGGTTAATATTGTTATGTGTGAATTTGATCCTGCCATTTTGATACTAGCTGTTTTTTTTTTTTTTTTTTTTGTATAATAGAAATATTTCGAAAAGTCTTCATACAAATATAAGGAAAGTAGGGGGTTGATGAACAAATCAAAGTATTTGGTTTGCCAGAGTGGAATTTGAGCAGTCATTGAAGGTGGGCTAGGCTTTTGTGATGGACACTTGCTGCATTGTTTGGGTTTTCCAGAATCTTGACGTCTTTTTAGCTTCAAATAATGCTCCATAGGTAACTTTAGTGGGAGACACTGCTTTGCCTCACACTACACATAAGAAGGGCAGCTGCTCCTTCTCCTCACCCCATTCGAATGAGGCTTGTTTACTGAGACTCTCCCATGAGGCTTAGCACCTCAAATGATGCTTAGATGTGACAATGTAGGATTCACATTTGCCCTTGGTAATGGAACTGAGCCACAGCAGTGAGGAGAGATGTAATGGCTATTGTCCCCAGCACCACATTCTTGCAGGGCTTCTGCTTTATCTTATCTCTTTACCGTGGGTCCTATGGCCGAGTCGACTTGTTTCTTCACTGTGTTTCAAAATATTTCTCTAACTTCCTTCTAATTTTGAGAACTATTCTGTATTCTTAAAAGAAAGAGAAATCTCTTTCTTGCCTATTTGTCAGAATTAAGTTTTTGTTACTTAGAAGCAAGGACCCCTCTAGTTTAGCTTTAAATAAATTGTCAAAAGACAAAGAAGAACTTACTTATATAGGGCATCTTTGTTGAAACAGAGAGAAAGCCCCAGGGATTTATAATCTTTCTTGGTTCATGGCACCCTTAGTTCTCAGTAATTTTTTCATAGTGCTCCTAGTCAAAATGGAATATGTAGCAGTTCATTTTATTTAGTGCTTCAATTCAAACAACAAAATAGCACTTTGCACAGTATCCAGCGGCTGTTGTGTGATTCTCTTGAAAATTTAAAATACATTTACTGTCCCCCCAAGTTCACTATAACTCTCCAGGGTTCTTTGGCACTCTGTTTCATAACCACAGCACTGAAAGATACTTGATATTTTACTGGCTTTTTTTTTTTTGTTTGTTTGTTTCTTATTGTTGTTGTTCTTTTAACTCAGGTTTCTCAATACACACTTAGAATATTCTGATGAGACACATGTAAGAGTTAACATTCACAAGTAAGTAATTGAATTAGGGATGTATAAATAGCTAATATGCAGGGATATGATCCCAAATCTTCCTTTTCCTAAACTTCACCTACTGTAGCAATTAGACTTTGCCTCTAGGGTAAGTGTTTTTATGTGGCTAATGCCATGAAAATGGAAGATATTCTGATTTAAGAATGTGCAGAGATATAACTATCAGGATGAGGAGTTTGTACATTCCATGAGAATCAGTAAAATTTTTGTAAGTGTTGTATTGCTTTCCTATAATTCTAGACCATGGATTATTTAAATGTAAGGATCATTTGTCATCTGTATCATAGCTAATACTATAGTGTCCTATATATTGTATTCAGTGTATGTTTGTTTAATTTAAACTTATATCTATGTTGAAAATTGATGTGTAAAAGTAATGTTTTCCACTGATAAGATTTGTGCTATAGTAGCAATATTTAGGATCTTGCTAATGAAAATTCTTGTCTTCTTGAATTTTGCCTTTTGATGATTCATTTGCTCATTCTTTATTCACACATTCAACTGACAGGTATTTATTGAGTACCTCTCAAATATTTTCATGTTACTGAGAAGGTTGAGAGCAGTGCCCAAGGCTTAGAAGACATTTTTCAGATACTTGTTTTGATCTGTGGCATAGTTGTGTCACTTCTTTCTTTGATCTCAAGTCAATAGAAAAAGTGAAATTTAATAAAACATTAAGGAAGTGCTGAATAATCTAGAAGTCACAGAATTTCCACAATTATACTGTAAACTTTAAAATCTTTAATTTTGAATTCAGAAAAATACAGATATATTTTAAGATAATTAAAATTAACCTATTTTGATTGCTTATGAAAATACTAATTTCAAGTGTTAGGTAGCTACTATAGCCAAGTGATACAATTTTTTTTTTTTTAGCCGTGGTATGATTTTGTTTGCGTGCCTCATTAATATTGTTATGAATGCAAATAAAAGTTATATTAAGTAATTCTCAGAAGGAGTTTGTGTATTACTGAAAACTAAAGAATCTGGTTCATGGATTTATGTAAAAGAAAAGTAAAGGTGAACTATATATGTATATTATTAAATGGCTAAAGAAAGATCTACTGAAAAATTTACTTACTTTGCTTATTCCTTCTAAAGAAGATATTTTTCTTTAAAATATAACCATGCATGATTTAAGACCAAATAAGACTTTTGAATTTACTTGTGTGGCCAAATGTAAACTCACATTTCTATGGTGTATATACAAATATAATCAAACAATTTTTATTTAATGTCTTTCTTTTATTTTTCTAAAACTACTAACACTTTCTTAAGATATTTACAGATAAAAAGAGAAAACGTTGTTCTCCTTTTTAGATTTCCTGCCTGTTACTATACTTCTTTAGAATATATGTTTTAGAACGCAAAAGGCTTTAATATCAAGAGGTTCTAAATGTATCATTTAATGAAGGCAATCATTTTCAACTTTAAAAAGTAATCCTTGGGTCACAATCCCTTAGAAGAGTCTTGGCACTCAAATCGTTGATTAAATGCATTGGTATTTCTGAAATTGTAATTTTATGTTTACTAAGTACAGGTAAATATCTTTATTTGGGGAAAATGACATTTATTTTTGAGGAAACCCACGAGACGGCTTAGTACAATGCATTGGTTTTAACTAGATAATAAATAATGATTGTGAGGAAGGTATTTTCTGCATTTGTTATTGTTTAGTGTATTGTGATTTAGTCTTAATCTTTTTTTCTTTTTTTTATTATACTTTAAGTTCTGGGGTACATGTGCCAAATGTGCAGGTCTGTTACATAGGTGTACACGTGCCATGGTGGTTTTCTGCATCCATCACCCTGTCATCTACATTAGGTATTTCTCCTAATGCTCTCCCTCTCCTATCCCCCTGCCCACTGCTATCCCTCCCCTAGCTCCCCCACCCACCGACAGGCCCTAATGTGTGATATTCCCCTCCCTGTGTTTGGCACATATACACCATGGAATACTATGCAGCCATAAAAAAGAATGAGTTCATGTCCTTTTCAGGGACATGAATGAAGACGGAAACCATCATTCTCAGCAAACTGACCCAAGAACAGAAAACCAAACACTGCATATAGTCTTAATATTTATATTAAAGCATATGCAATTATTTTGAAATTTTAGTGATCATTATTTTCTTCTGTGACAATTTGGCAAGCAGAACAGAATACTGAAATGAATTATTTATTATGGTTTGGCAGTGTTAGAAATTGACTTTTGTTTAGTTGAGATTCTGATTTTAAGTATGTATAGATTAAGATAATTGTCAGACTCTTAATAGTATATAACCTAAGTAGTGGAATACATAGTAATTTCTGAATATAACTTTTCTTCTTGTAATAGAAGAGAATGAGGTTGGCTACTTGCTAGAGGAGATAACTAAGGAGATGATTCCTGAAGGTCTTATTGATCAAAATTTTATATCATGCTTTCCATATTCTGAGCACTGTTCTAAGCACCTTACCCCATTACTAGCTCTACGAAGCTTATGGAAAAATAAAGTAGTAACAGCAGGAGTAAAATTACCAGTTTTTAAAAACAAGAGTTTCTACCAGTTCTGTAGTTACTTGTAAGCTAAGTTAAAAATAGGTTGGAATAGATTACAGTTAGTGCATCTTCTCAAAAACAATAGTTGCTTTTTTAACAATGGCAAAAAAAAAAAAGTGGTTATAGATCTAGCAAGATTTATAGTGTAAATACTTTCCCAAAATTATTACATTAAAGCCTCATCTATATTTACTTGTCAATATGTTCTTCTCAAATAGACAATCAATATTCTAGTCATCAGCTTTGTAAAATATCACTATAATAAAGGTTCCAAATTCCTCAGGAAAAGAAATAAATAAACATTTTGAGATACAAATTAATAAATGTCTAAGATTTATGGAAAAAGTAGATAGCATGTTTTCTTGTGCAATAAATACCACTCATCACTTGGATGACTTATGAAAGCAGCTATACAATGTGCAATCAGAAGTAATTATTTGTTGTGAGTGATTAGAAAAATCGTGAACCATGTCAAAGTTGAATTTACAAGGTTGATCCTTTTTTATTTAAGAAAGCAAAAATAATATTTTAGCTAGATATAAAAAATCAAGAATTTTATTTTTTCAATAAGAAATGTATCCAATATGTATTGTGTGATTACCCTGTGAAAATTACTTTAGGAGATAATTTAAATTATTGTTATAATATAAAGTGAATATTGCCATTTCAATTTTACAACTGAAACAGCTGAATGTGAGAGATTTTAAGCAACTTGCCTGATATCACAAAATGGCAGAAGCTTAGAATTCAAACTCAGAACTTTCAAATTGCCAAGTCCGTATTTTTTTCCCCAACCTAGTATTCTATATAGTTATGTGTTGTGGCTGGGTGGTGAGGGAAACTTATATAAAATATATGAAAATATAATAACCATTCAAATAAGAAGCAGGACTTAATTCTGAGTTAAATTGTTTATATATTCTGCATTAGGTTGGTAGGTGGATGGTTTGGAAAATTATCAAAATTTTGCAAAAATTACGATTTTTCAATCACATAGACAAATATTTTGACCTTTTTTGTTCCAGGTTTGAGGTCATGAGATATATAAATAATTCCAGGAGTTGATTATTCTGATCCTATTTTAGAATCTACAGGTATCATACTTACAGCTTGATTATTCACAGACACATTAGTTACATTTACTAAATGAATGTGTTTCTTTACTTTATTCCATTTACTTATTATCATCACATTTATTCTTGCCCATGCTGAAAATGGTTGAACCTTACAAGGCATGTAACAATTTTTCAACTCTAATAAAAAC